GAAAATTGTGTAGAATGGATTTAAATAAAAATTAATTTAAAAATGATTAATTAAAACCTGATTTATGTATTATTAAAGTTGATTCTAGATTTTTGAAGATGGTAACTTAAAAACCTTTGTGGGTGTAATTTCCTCATTAATTAATCAGTGGAGCCCACACTAATCAGTGTGGGCTGTACAATGTACAGCCCATTAATGGCTGTACAAGGAGAAAAATTCTAAAATCAATTCGAAGCCGATATAGAGAGAGGAAAAAAAACAGAGAATCAAATCAACGAAATGGATCCGTTAATGAAGGAAGAAGAGTACAATTGGAGAGAAGTGATACTACCGTCGCTAATACTAGTTGTGCCGGAGCCGGAACTGGAGAGAGAAACCGGAGAGAGAAGGAGAGGACGCGACATAATAATCGCAGTTGATCATGGACCCAATAGCAAACACGCTTTTCATTGGGCAATAACTCATCTCTGCCGCCTCGCAGATACCGTTCACCTTGTACATGCCGTTTCCAGTTAAGCCCAATTTTATTTTCATTTTGCTCTATATATTAACTTCAAGGAAAGATTGGGGACATGACTTTCTACTCAAATAATAGGTTGAGGATCATTAGTGAAATTTTCTTGATTCTTATGCATTTGTTTATTTTTTGTGTTAGCTTTGAAGAACTAGATTGTTTACGATACGACGCAGGTTCTTATGGAGAAGCTTGCAGTGGAGGCTCTTGAGGTTGCTATGGTAATTTCTATTTCTTTTTATAAATGTAATCTCAATTTGTTTTGGTTGTTTTGTGTTTTTGTGGTGCTTTCATGGAACATTTGATGCGGCAAGAAATAATATTGGTTAGTTTATGTGACATTAACATTGTGTTTGCAATTACGACTTTCGAAATGCCATAAAAGACGGGCTTTCTTGTGGTACATTTTGTCAAAAAATTTGAAGTCGGTTATATGGAATAGTCATGTTAGTTTTTGTCGACGCCTAATGTTCCACTGAAATCGTGTCACTCTTATGAGCATAAACCTCTCTACATCTATGCAAAAGTGACACTTGATTCATTTTATAGTTAAGATTAAAAATAATGCAAATTATGTATTGAGATGAAATAATTAACAAAATATTACACCATAATGTATGCATATGAGAAAACATGCAATCATTGGACACAAGAGTTCTTGACGTAGCGAGCTTGTTTTTTTTTCTAGCACATTGTAATGTGAAGAATATTTCTTGAGACCAATTTTCACGGTTCGAAAAATGGTTTTGGGATTTTTGTCAAACGTTTACATAAGTTTAAAGTTTTTGCGCGATTGAATAATTTATTGATCAATACTATCTCCTTCAATGGCCTAGTATGTCTTCTTGTCATCTCTTTTCCTCTTTACAGTTTCCAGATAGTATGATCTATCTTCTATGCAGAGGTGTGTCTGTTTCNCAATACTATCTCCTTCAATGGCCTAGTATGTCTTCTTGTCATCTCTTTTCCTCTTTACAGTTTCGAGATAGTAGGATCTATCTTCTATGCAGAGGGGTGTCTGTTTCGGTGTCTACATTGTTCTTGTACTCAGATAGTCTTTTGCTTATGCACATCTTTTTATTATGAAAAATTTAAACTAATTCTTGCTTTCATACATTTGTGAACCTGGGTTAATTTTATTGTTTCTATAAAACTCATTTGACTTTTGAAAAGAGAGAAAGGAAAACAGAAGTCCGGTCGTGAACTCTATGGATTTGCTATTTTCTAGCTTTAATGGTATTTTATATAGAATTTATCACATTACAAATAGGTGAAGTCGAAGGCTAGGATCGTGGAAGGAGATGCAGGGAAGGCAATTTGCAAGGAAGCAGGGAGGTTAAAGCCTGCTGCTGTTGTTCTTGGTACCAGAGGCTGAAGCTTGATGCAAAGGTGCCACTCTCCCTTGTTCTTTCACGCCCCTTACCTGTTTATGCTCAACTGACATTTTTGTTTGACTCTATTTCAGTGTGCTACAAGGCAGCGTTAGTGAATATTGCTTCCACAATTGTAAAACCGCACCAGTCATTATTGTTCCTGGAAAAGGTATAATCTCTCTGTTAACCCAAA